AGGTCCCTTCCGACCCTTAATCTATGAATCTATGAATGTTTCAGTCAAGATGCAAAACTAAGTGCTTTACTGCTTCTGGTTGCTAAAATTATTTAAAAATAAGAACACAGGTGTTCTGGATGTAATACCACTATAATTAATTTTTGATGGTACCATTTCTAATCTAAAAATCATCCTTAAAATCTTAAACGACTCTGGCTTGCTTTGTTTCTGTCCTAAGATGTTGTACTTAATGTTGCTATGAAACTATTACTGCGTTTTACATGTACTCTTATCTACAATGTGGAGATCTAATTGAAATATCCTAGTCATCATCTACTCTAATAGTTAGAGAATGCTTCCGAGTGTGACTGACTATTTCAATTTAAATGAGAATTGATTTACTTTAAAGGCTCATACCAAATATGAACCATATTTAAAGCAATTAACTCATCTGCTGGAGGCCTACAGACAAGACAGCTCCATTTCTGCTGCTCCTGCTGCTCATTGCAGAGGAAAACCAGCAAGCCTGGGTACTTCTTACTGCACCTAGTCAGAAAACTGGTGACAAGCAAAACTGCAGGCTGGTAACTTTTTATGCTTGGCACAGCAAGTGGTGAGAGGCAGGTGGTAGTCATACCTTTTGTTTGTTTGTTTGTTTGTCTGTTTTTAGTTAATTTAATTCTCTAGCTTGCATATACTGAGTAAAGACTAAAAAAACCATCTTAAGTGAAGCTTCTACTCCTGTGCAGCTTGAATAAGGTTAATGCAGCACTGAAAAAACCCTCATGGATGAAACTTTGTAGAGGAAGACTGAGGCAAGCAGTTGTGCCTCATGGGTGCTATATCCAATCGGGTACATAAGGAAACCCTTCCATCATCAAACAGTGTGGTAGTAAGCAACACAAAAATGGCAACAGCAAGTAAAGTAAAAAATAGCAAAAGGTAACCACCCACATCAAGCTTCCCATTACATTGCTATAGTGACACTTTTGGTTATCTCCCATTGAAAAGTTTCTTTAGATTTCTCTTTACTTCCCCTAAATTTGCAATGTACTATTTAAATAAAGTGGGAATAAAATTTGTGAGGTCTAATCCCAAGACTAAGTTGCAATGAGAAACAAGAACCTTGTATTTTAATATCAGCATGCATATGTGTCTATCTAGGGAAGACTATCAGGGTACCTAACAAGGTAAATAACAATGCAGTGTTGCATTCAGGTCTGATTAGAAGCCCTCTTCCAGGCAAAAGGAATTAATTTTGATTGCTGAAGGCAGTTACACAATTTAACTTGCTCTGGTTCAGGATTGCAGTAAAATACAGTGATAACTGGCTCTGATTAGGGGAGGCCCAGTTTCTCAGCCCTTAATTTAGGCACTTTGCCATGCTCCCCACAGAATAACTTGAGTTGCTTACAGTTCAACATGTAAAAAACCATAATTAGCAATACATAAGCCAATGAAGCTTTGGTCAGTCAGGAGGGTTCAGCTCAGTGGTCACCAACCAGTGGATCTTGATCCACCGGTAGAGCTTGGGGCCTCTTGGAGTTGATCCAAGGCTGTGGTGGGGGGCTGAGTGCCCAGCTGCATGCACGCGCGTGCCCCAGCCCAGGAGGTCAGTCCTAGCCCAGGGAGGGAAGGGGCGGGGGCCGGATCAACGTCCCTGCAGTGAGGAACAGTGCCGCAGAGGCAGGAGCACAGGTAAGTTGAGTAGGCCCCGGCCAGGTGGGAAGCGT